GAGGGCATGAATTATCTGAACAAGCAGAGCCTTGCCGCAGGAGTTAATGTACACTATTTGTCTTCTTGCACTCATTTACGCCCCATCTCTCCAGCGCTGATCCATATCGAGGTCAACAGCCCGGCATGTCTGCATGGCTCCCCGATCAAAGCCTTACGCCTCTGCACCTTTCCCATGAAAACCCTATGAGAATGTCAGGACATGCTATGTAACTTCTCAAGGTGATGAGATGAGCCCCTCCAACAATTATATCTGCTCAATTCTGAGTTGAGGCTGCTGTAAGTGATTTTTTTTTTGTTGGAAAACCACATGCTAAATGTCTGGATTTCCTGACAAAGGTGTCTTGAGATCACACCTTTCTCTGTGACAGCCCTATACTGTGAAGAAAAAAAAGTGTCAGGGAAGTTGTGTTTTCTAGACAATCAGAAACTATACTAAAATTGGACAAACAAGGGCTTGTTTTAGAAGTGTAAAGGGGGTACTGCAATTGATATCTCATTTAGCAATACCCACAAAATATTCTCAGATATCAGTGCACTTAATTGAAGGAGAAACCAAACATGGACTCCAGCTTCAGGATTTCACTATAGTTTGTAACAGCATCTAAACACTTTTTCAGTGGCCTTGGTTTGGAAGTATTTTACATAACTTTTTCCCATAGGCATTTTTAAAATGTCTTGTGTTAAAAAGTTAGAAGCTATAAGCCAAAGCAATCAGCTATGAGGTGAATCACAACATTACAAACTTTGAAAAAAAGTATTTAAAACTGACAAAAATACAAAGATACAAGTGAAAGAACTACAATCCCATCAAGCATATATTTAGCTATATATTGCTGAATCATGGGTGACCGTTTTTCACCAGTATTTCTGCTGTTAAACATAATTATTTAAAAACAACAACAACATTGTTGCTCACATTAGGTTTGTCTTTTATAAATTATCATAAAAAAAATTATTTCCCCTAAGGTGAAAGTGAACAGGATTTTTATTTCCGTAATCCTAAAATTTCACTCTGTAGTCAACTTCAACCAATTTCACCGATATTAAAATATATATTTTTTTTATGTTATAGCCATGCAATACATGTTACATAGCAGATATTAAAATTCTACACTTTTTTATCTAAATAAAAATAAAAAAATAAAAGCAATGACAACAAGTTTATAATGTACAGTTTGAAAAAAGGATATTAAATTCAATACTTCAGAGTTATGTGCCCTCTAGAAGCTTACATTCTGCAAGTGAACGACACATTATTGTTCATCTCAAAGAGGCGTTTGTAAGTCGCTTTGGATAAAAGTGTCTGCTAAATGACTAAATGTAAATGTAAATTTGAGATTTGCTAAAGATTATATTTAAAGGGTTCACCCAAAAATGAAAATTCTGTCATTAATTACTCACCCTCGTGTCGTTCCAAACCTGTAAGACCTTCGTTCATCTTCGGAACACAACTTAAGATATTTTTGATGAATTCAGAGAGCTCTCTGACCCTCCATAGACAGCAACGCAACTGTAATGTTCCCAGGTCCAGAAACATAGTAAGGGCATCGGTAAAATAGTCCACGTGACATCAGTGGCTCAACTTCAATTTTGCGAAGCTACGAGAATACTTTTTGTGTGCAAAGAAAAAAAAATGTATTTAACAATTCTTCTACCCCGAGTTACGTCCTCCGCTATTTTGGAGAGTACCCAAGAACGGGAAATTGCGCGCATGAACGTAATCGGCGTTGTTTACACTTGCGTATGCGTTATGATAATCTCCAAAATGGCAGAAGACAGTGACTCGGGGGAGAAGAATTGTTGACTAAAGTCGTTATTTTTGTTTTCTTTGCGCACAAAAAGTATTCTCGTAGCTTCGCAAAACTGAAGTTGAGCCACTGATGTCACGTGGACTGTTTTACCGATGCCCTTACTACGTTTCTGGACCTGGGAACATTATAGTTGCGTTGCAACTTATTAAACAAATTATAAATGTTTAAAGAACTTTAAAGAGTTATTCTATATGTAAATATATGGGAAATAAGCATGTATAATTAAATATCCAGTCTCATACCCAATATAACAAATATAACAACATAGTACTGACGTGCATTCCTATATAAAATCGCTAACCCACAATTCAACAGATGACTTGGGCTGATTTAAACAATTGTGCTTCTCAAGCCGCTATCACATAGACAATGCACTGCAAAACATTTCATTTAAACAAGCGAATGATTTAGACTAAAGTTAATCATACGCCTGTCTGACTGTTACACTCAGCTCAGGAACATGAAGCCTCCCTTGAGACTTACACATCTATTATGGCTGAACTTAGCTAAAAATGCGGTGTGATTTAACGTGACTCCTTCATCCACCTGCACGATCATCCAAAATCATTAGCAGGACTACATCAATGGATTTTTAAACCTCAAAAAGACTAGAGAAACAGCCTCAGGGCTGGTTTCTCAGGGCCAGATTAACCGAGTCCTGAACCGCACTGCAGTTTGAAGTGTGATTCTCTATTAAGATCTCTGAACATCCTTAGCCAAGAATAACACTAAAGCAGTGTCCTTGAAAAAAAATCCCTCTGCCTAACGTCACTCTGCTCTTCATTTCAACTAAAATGTTGAGAACAATTTGTACCACATGATGTTTGAACCTCTGGTGCAGTACTGCAACCCAAACTCAACCTGTTTCAATTCAGAATCAACCTCATCTTCAGGGAAATTAACTGAAATCAGAAAATATCGATTCACTTTTAAAAATCGTATTAAGAAGCCCGCTGCACAAAATGATTCTCAGGGTCTTTTAGAGTTGTGCCTGGTGACGTCAGCAATTAAAGGATAAAGGAAAACAATGGCTATCAGACAGTGTGCAGGACAGGAAGTTATGCACACGCAAACAGGAAGCGGACAGGGGTTCGGCTGTTTTCTGCAATCCTGCTGTGTTTGTGTTGTTCGCTCGTGTTATATGCCACACTTTTAACCAAGCAAAAATTCAACTCACATAAGGAAATGTAGACTTAGAATAAATGGGGATTTCAGCGGTGACACAGTATGCCAGCAGTATGAGCTGCTGCTATTTTGGATTCACTGTCTTCTTTTAAAAGACCACAACAGTGAATCTTCCCTCAGCCTGCTAAGAAACTAGGTCTGGTGCTGCCGTCCCAGAGATAATCAAATAAAATATGGGTCAGAACTTGAGCACTGCATACATTTTTGCCAGTTAACTGGTTAATACATTGTTCATGTCTAAACTACCATTTAAAAGTTTGAGATCGGTAAGACTTTTAAATATTTTTGAAAGAAGTCTCTTATGCTCACCAAAGCTGCATTTATTTACAGTGAACACTGTAATATTGTGAAATATTATTACAATTGAAAATAACTCTAAAAATGTAATTGATTGCTGTGATCAAAGCTGAACTTCCAGCATCATTACTCCAGTCTTCAGTGTCACATGATCCTTCAGAAATCATTCTAATATGCTGATTTACTGCTCAAGAAACATTTCTTATTATTATCATTGTTGGACATGGTTGTGCCGCTTAACGATTTAATGAAAACTGACACTTTTTTCAGGATTTTTTTTTTTTTTTTATGAATTGAAAGTTCAAAAGAACAGCATTTTTTGTATCAATGTAAGTCTTTACTGTCACTTTTGAAGAATTTAGTGCACCCTTACTGAATACAAATGATAAAAAATAATAATCAAATCTTTACTGACCCCTAAACGGTAGTGAATATTCCCACAATTCTTCACAAGAACAAACGTCTGAATCCTTTGGCTATTATGTTACCACTCTCCAATAATACTCAAAGACATCATTACGCAGCATAATTAGCTAATAATTACAATGAATGACTCTGAATTAATATACATAAACAATCTCTATAAAACCAAAGCTTTTAAAGGTTTAAACAGAGATTTAATAGCATGTGGATGAGTACTGCCCATAATTGTTTCTGACAATATGATCATTTAAAAAAACAGCCCTGAAATTGTGAATTTCATTAAAATAACGGTCATCAAATCATAGGCTAATTTGCACATTCCCCTCCCTCATAGATGTGCTGGAAGATCTCAAGAAAGCAGCACACGGTTGGTCTAATTAGTTCAGTTTGAACTCTTCCTGCTGTGCATTTACACAGAAGACATGCTCCAGTTTAAAAGGTGCACTACCACTGCAGTTCAGCACATCTGTTATTATATGATAACAGTTAAAAAATCAGATTTATTTATTTTTTTACTAGTCAAGCTCTTGTGGGATTTGTTAGAAAAAGTAATCGGAATGGATCCTTGACTTTGTCACCATGTCAGGAAATATGTAGAGTCGATATATTGATAAAAATTCTTAATACGTGAGGACCTACAGGTTTAATCAATATTCTTATCAGCAAACGACCTGCTTAGGGAAGATTTGCAGCACAGGCATGACATGCAAAGCATGCTGTTGTTCTTGTCTGAAATTGCCACAGCCAGATTGAATACTGAGCAGTTCGCTTGGAACAATCCAGATGTCATGCATACGTGTTTCTACAACCTGAAAATCGTCATTGTATGAATCTAAAAGTCTTGCATTTGTTCCAGCACCTTCAAACACACCCAGCACGACCAATAAGATGATTCTCAAACCGTTTCTGTTGTTTGCCAAAAGTAACAGCAGTTGTATTAGGCTACACCAACATATGGTTTTCTGTATTAGTTGTCCTTTATATTGCATTGCTTTTATTGGGTCTGAATGCTCTTTCTGATCTGAAGCACTGCTGACACAGCACTGAACCTGCATTACATCTATCCTCATCACCGCTATTATATAGGTACAGAAGGGTTGCAGTAAAAACATCCCGATGACAGATCAGATATTTCAGAGCGCATATGGAGAGGTGTGTATTTAAGGGTATGTCAACAGCCCGCGTCCATAATAATGCATGAACCCTATTCATAGGAAATCTGATGCAACCCTGATCTCTAAAACCCGGTGTGTGGCATGGAGATGGAAGACCAGCGACTCACCCTCGGAGAGCTCCAGCTCGAGCTCCGCCAGCTTCTCGCGCACCTCCGCCGGGAGAGTCATCGCGATCGCCGGCGACGGGTCCAGCATCATCATCAGTAATCCGGTGGAACTGCGCTCTGCCATAACGATCCAGCTGGGTCAGACAGCTCCAGGTCCTCACCGGCCAGAGGGTTTGTTGTGGCTCAGATCAGCTGCTGGAAAGAGAGGGGCGGGTGGGTGCTGGTCGCTTATCGCATGCAAACGTGAGAAGTATCGGGGCGGTTGCATATAGGCTGCTGCTTGCTTACAGCCCAGCCGCTCGGACCGCAGATAAAATGTAAGATCCACGCCCTTCAAGCCGGATTTAGCGCTGGATGGTCGTGCATGACTGAAGAATGCTTCGTAAAACAAAGGGAAACTCGGCCAACTCCGCTCTTCAGCGCGCCACCATCGCCATTGCAGCAGAGCAGCTGGGAACAGCGCGTCAGTGTCTCACCTACACACACACACACACACACACACACACACAGGTGACATGCACTGGCAGTGCGCTGCACTTGCTATACTTACACTAAATCGGCCGTTTACAGTTTAACATAGTGAAATACCGCTACGCCCTAAAAGAAGCAACAGGGTTTATGATAACAGGGTTGACAGTAACAGGATGAGCAGTTTAGTTCATTTAAGTCAACCTTGGGCTCAAGGTCATGACACATGGGTTTTATTAGAAAGAACAAGCTGGTCATACAAACATCCACTTTTCAATAATCAGCTCCTGACAAAACCAAGGTAACAGGGTTGAATGTCACATTTAAACCACAAGAAAAGACAATACTTGGCTTTGAGGTGTTTGCATCTTGATGTTTTTTAATTGAATTAATGTCAGTTATGACAGTAACAGGGTTGACTTCTTTGAAAATGCACATCTTTGCTAGTATAGCAAGGAGAAGTTGGAAGCACAAAAAAAGTCAAATAAAGTTACAGGATTTTTGTTATATCACTTTGGTAACGTTTGGTAGTTATTCATTGCGTTGTCAAATGTTTACACGTGTTCAAGATGTATACAAATAGCACCGATTTCATTGAAACTGAAAGAAACATATGCACACATTATGAGAAAAAACACACGTATAACATATAATGATAAACATTGTTAAAACGTGCATCTCCATAGATGAAAGTCTCAGGTCTCCCTTTAGGTTATAATGTCATTTTGAAGCGTGATACAGTTTCCTGTGACTGTAGACACTGGCTGTCTGAAGCTATCAGTATTCAAATAGTTTAATATTGTTTGGGACTTCTGTTCAAACTTTCTTTTACCAATTTATACAATTAAATTAAATGATTTAAATTATTGGTTTTATGGAGGGCAATCAGTTCAGATGTTTTAAAACAGAGGTGCCCAAACTCGGTCCTGGAGGGCCGATGTCCAGCAGAGTTTAGCTCCAACCTCCCTGGAGGTTTCTAGTATGCCTAGTAAGAGCTTGATTAGCTGGTGTCTAATTGTGGATGGATCTAAACTCTGCAGGACACTGGTCCTCCAGGACCGAGTTTGGGCACCTCTGTTTTAAAAGCAAGTTTAACACGTGGTGGTGAAGTTCACTGCCAACACTGGACAACACTGCCCACATGTGGACAATATAGGGAACTACAATAACAAAACCTGAGATTTATTTACTGAAACTTTACAAATCATAATTGATACAATTCATAGAGACATCATTATGATGATCATCTACTCAAACATCAAATGTTCTTGAATAATCATCTACCTTCACTTAAACGTAAGGGTTCATGACGGAATCAAGACAAATAGACTGTCTTCCTGAGAGTGTGCTTGAGATTTAAAAAGTAAGAGGATTCTGGAGATTTGTGATTGTGTTCGTATACTGCACGATTCACTGCCATGTGCAAGTCTACCAAATGAGTCCTCCTGAAAAGAATAAAAATACAATTAGTAATACTTACATAACACTTAATAGAAATTTTAAAAAAAATCAATCAATCCCTGGGTCCAAAATGGCCTTAGAGATTTAGAAATATGCAATCTAATGTATGCTCTATACTATATGATAACAGTAAAATATTTGGAATAATTTGATTACCGTATTATTCAGTTAATATTGTGAAATATTATTACAATTTAAAATAACTCTTTTCTATTTGAATATACTGTAAAATGTAATTTATTTCTGTGATCAAAGCTGAATTTTCAGCATCATTACTCCAGTCTTCAGTGTCACATGATCCTTCAGAAATCACTCTAATATGCTGATTTACTGCTCAAGAAACATGTCTTATTATCAGTGTTGAAAAAAGTTGTGCTGCTTAATATTTTTGTGGAAACTGATACATTTTTCAGGATTCTTTGATGAAATAAGTTCAAAAGTACAGCATTTATTTAAAACAAAAACTGTCTGTAACATTGAAAATAATAAATGTTTCTTGAGCAGCAAATCAGCATATCAGAATGATTTCTGAAGGATCATGTGACACTGAAGACTGGAGTAATAATGATGCTGGAAATTCAGCTTTGCATCTCAGGAATAAATGACATTTTAAAATATGTATTTTTTTTTATAGATATTTTGTCTTGGTGAGCATGAGAAAAAAAACAAACATAAAAAATTGTAATAATTCCAATCTTTCAAAGTGTTTTCAACACTGATAATAATAATAATCAGCTAATTAGCATTTCAGAATGATTTCTGAAGGATCATGTGACACTGAAGACTGGAGTAATAATGATGCTGGAAATTCAGCTTTGCATCTCAGGAATAAATGACATTTTAAAATATGTATTTTTTTTAATATATATTTTGTCTTGGTGAGCATGAGAAAAAAAAACAAACATAAAAAATTGTAATAATTCCAATCTTTCAAAGTGTTAGTCTTACCTTTCCTGTCCCTCAGTTAAGGAGGATCTCAAGGCTTTCAGGTACACAGACTGATGGTTTGGCACCTCCAGCTGTTTTCCTCGAGTCCAGCAGTGACTCCAGAAGATGTCCGCATCCACCGGGACAGTCCTCTTGCAGCATAAGAGCACAGGCCCGTCTGTCTCCAGCTCTCCACCCTCCATACACCCAGCACACCTCTGAGGCTCGGGCACATCATAGCTCTGGATAAAGAAGAGTTTAGGCTTGCCTGCCAGGCCCGGGCAGGAGTCTGAGGTGAAGAGGCGCCTGACAGTGTCCAGGCTCAGTCCTGGACCGTGAGAGTCAGTGGCCAGCAGATCTGAAGAGCAGCTTCGGCTGATAACGCAGCAGACAAAAGCAGACGCTCTGTAGTGACCCTGCTGATGAGCCACTTCCCTCAGAGTGGACTGCACGTCCCTCACACTCAGCAGCTTGTGCAAGATCACAATGAAGTGTAAGGCCTTAAATGTCTGCTCCAGCTCATCTGTAAGGAAAAGAGAAGCCATTACTAGAGGGTAATGTGATTTATTTCACAACTAGGTGGGACTATTAGTACTAATCACCAAACAGACATTTACATTCAATTGACTTTCGATTTCAAACTCAGTTTAAAAAAATAAAAAGAAACTCTGCTTAAATAATAGTCTGCTGTTAAATTAGCTGAGCATTGCAATTAGTAAATGGAAATGGCTCATGCTGTTGCGTCTTGGTGATTAAACCAAATTTTTCATTACAAAAAAAACTAAGTTTGTGCTAGGAAAAGACAATGCCAGCTTTTGGATGAACAACTAGATAAAAGTTGATAGTACTGATTTAACACATACTGAAAAACATGACCACAGTACAATTCAATGTTTGTTTGTTAATACTTTTATTCAGCAAGGATGCATTCATTTGATCAAAAGTAACAGTAAAGACTTTGTTGCATAAGATTTCTATTTCAATTAAACAAAGCTGTTCTTTTGAAATATCCATTCATCAAATAATCCAACAGTACAATTCAATGTTTGTTTGTTAATACTTTTATTCAGCAAGGATGCATTCATTTGATCAAAAGTAACAGTAAAGACTGTTGCATAAGATTTCTATTTCAATTAAACAAAGCTGTTCTTTTGAAATATCCATTCATCAAATAATCCTATCATTATGGTTTCTACAAAAATATTAAGCAACACAACTGTTTTCAACACTGATAATAATAATAATCAGCTAATTAGCATTTCAGAATGATTTCTGAAGGATCATGTGACACAAAAGACTGGAGTAACGATGCTGAAAACTCAGCTTTGTATCACAGGAATAAATTACATTTTATAAATGTATTCAAATAGAAAATCTTACCAACCCCAAACTTTTGAACGGTAGTGTAAACTACATAAGATCAGTGATTTCTCACCTCCTTCAGTGCCGACACAGTCTATGATTAAACACACTCCTCTGGGATCACTCTGCATACTGTACACTTCCTCCTGCTGCTGGAGATCAAAAAGATCAAATCAACACAAGTCAGTTTGACACACTGATCTGTTACAGGTCACTGGTTTGGCCATATTCATCACCTGATAACAATCTTCCACAGTGGCATTTTCACCCACAATAACAGTTTCACTTATATTTGGAGTCTGCACCCATAACGTGTTACTAGGAAATAATGGTATTACTTGCCTTGAAACAGCGCTTGGAATTAACACAATAATACCCTAAATGCAAAACTCTAATTTTGGCCATATGGTCAAAGAAAGAAGTGAAACCTTTTGTTTTAAGAGAACCCTACAGTTTCGTAATGAACTAGCTGAGCATCAGTGCTCCTTGTATTGAACAGATATACAGTATATCTTAAAAGCATAATCGAACATATTTCAAATTCATTCGAAAATTCATGATATGCATTTCATTAAAAATATATTTATTTATTTAAATTACCTGACAATAAGAGCTAGTGCCAAGTAGTTTCTTCTTCACTGTGGTCGGTTTATCTAAAAAAAAAGAAATTAATTAATAAAAAGAAGAGATAGATAGATAGATAGATAGAATTACACAGAACATACTGCACTCTACCAGTCAAATGTTATGATATACATATTTAGGATAATACATATTAATCAAATATACATTAGACATGTGTCGTATATATTAGACAAATATACATATTAGTCACATATACTAAGAAAACTGAGTTACTTGTAAGTACATAAAAACCCATGTTAGATCAACAGAATTCCCCTAAAGGTGTTTTTTAACGGAAACAGAGGGGAGGAGGAGGAGGAGGAGGAGGAGGAGGAGGAAGCGGGCACGTCTAACTTTCGGCAGTCAAGTACGTGCTGCTGAATAATAACCAAGTTAAGTTACTATAATAATAGCCAAGTTAATAAACAAACACTACAGCTCTTCATATTCTAATTTCTCTTTGCCTACACAAATCAAGTACGTCAGTAAAAGTACAGATCCGTATAATAAAATATTACTCCAGTAAAAGTACTCCGTTTTTAATTTTACTCGAGTGAAAAGTACTTGATTTTATGTACAAGTAAAAAGTACCAATAGATGAATGTTTATTTTGCAGTTGTATATAGGCTACTTTTATCATTTCATATTAGCATATATATTTTTTATAATCCTACTGCTCAAAATACCTGGGATTTTCCCAAAATACCCAATAAGGAAATAATGAATATAAAAAGGAAAATATAATTAGTGTGTGTATATATATATATATATATATATATGTTCTGAACATCACATCCTTTCTTTTCCCCCCAGATGTAATCTATCTTGGTCAGGGGTGGGCAAGCTTGGCCCTTCCAGGCCACTTTCCTTCAGAGTTTAGCTCCAACCCTAATCAAACACACCTGAACCAGCTAATCATTGTCTTCAAGACTACTAGAAGGCTACTGGCAGGTGAGTTGTGTCAGGGTTGTATCAAATCTCAAATGCAGGAAAGTGGCCTGGAAGGGCCAAGTTTGCCCGTCACTGACCTAGGTGGTTGAATAAAAATATTTGGACTTTATTTTTTAAAAATTACCTAAATTTAGCACCAGCAAGCTCGTTAGCTAGACAGTTAGCATCAGCTAACATTGACTTATTTTCAGCATGGTTATGAATAAACATTTATATTTGTCTACTCGGCTAGTTGATCCAAATACATAGTAACTTAGGCTATGTGTGCTGACAAACAATATAAAAACAGACGTCACATAGGGCTAAATGCATAGCATTTTAGTAAAACTGCTAACGTGAAGATGAATGTGCATGAGTTATTTGATTTAATCCGTGTTATTTTAATGTTTTTTTTACTTAAAACATAGAGACTCTGATGTTGATGTGTCTGCATTCAAGCATTTCAGTGGGCTTAAATAGATCACCCTTTACAGCAGATTTAGTTCACAAACAACTGACAGCTTTGAACTAAATATGATTTTCAGTTACAATAATTAATCCTAAAAAATAAACATTAGTAACTTATTTTAGCAGCATCAGTCGCGCGCGTGCTCACAAGATCTTCAATTCAATTCACTGGAGACTCGCACTAAACGGATCATTTGAGTCAGTGAGTTGTCGACTTGAGAACAGCTGCAATCGGATTATTCCAATTCGTGATTGAATCGTTTTGTGCAATTTGCGAACCGATTTAAAAGGTTCATTGAAAATAATCAGTTTATTCATGAATCAGACACCGCTTCTGCGTCTCGGAGCATGTGATATATTATAAGAAGTAACTATATGTTTTATGAAATGTAGTGAAGTAAAAAGTACGATCTTATGCTTTGGAATGTAGTGAAGTCAAAGTAAAAGTTACTCAAAATAAAACTACTCCAGTAAAGTACAAATACTTGAAAAATGTACTTCAGTAACGAAGTTAAACTATTCCGTTACTGTCCACCACTGCACAGTTGTACACAGTTCGCAATTGTAGTACGCCTGCATTTGGTTCCAATATACTTAAAGGTTATATTTGTTGACATTTACAAGCTAAACTTCATATCACCTAAAACTGCAACCAAAAACGTACTGGATATGAAAAACTGTAAAACGATGTCGATTAAGATTAAGTGTTTAATAAGCCAGCTCCTTTTGCTAATCATCTAACCTCTGGTTAGCTGTTCCTCTGCTGGCAGCTATTTCCGTTTAGCTGGAAGAGAAGTCAACAGATTAAAAGATGACCTAAATGATTCATGATCTGTGAAAATTTAGCATTTTACACACACATTTCCCCATTAAATTAAATATTAACCTTCCAATCTAATTGCCAGCATCTGTGCAATGCCACAATCCTTTTGATTCGTACCTCAGTGTGTACAACAAAGCAAAAAGACATAGATATGCATTGTAAGCACACAGCAGTGAATTATCGAGGACGTTAAGGACGTCATAGTCAAAACATTAGATTTGCATCCATGTTAACCCTGTTCATATTCAGAAAATGTAACATGCAAATCACTGGCATTTATACTTATATAAAGAATAGCATTTTACTCTGATGCAATATCCAATGAACATACAACAAACATACTCAGCCCAATTCAATTAATGTATATTTATTTTACATACTAGTCATAGGAATCATAAAGATGAATGAACACAGGTATTAGGAAGCCTTTCATGGGCTAATGTCTTCATGGATAGACAACAACAGGCTTAAAACCTGCAGCAAACACAGAGTCCGGCGGCGACTGGCTCAGCTGAGCTTTAGCCACACTATTAGTGCTCTGACTTCTTTGGAGGGAAGAAAGCATACTCCACTGCCAGTGCCACGGCAAACGCTGCGAATCCCGTCTTAAATCCACGGAGGAGAACGTCTCGGAAGGTAACTGGGATGCCAAAGCTGCCCGTATATCTCCATGCCTCATTCCTGCAAAAACAAAAATTGCCATCCTTTAGTTCTTCATTCTCTGACTTTCATAACGTCCTATTTTAGAAAAATAAACTACTGCTGAAGCCAAATTAAAAGTTGTACATATTAAAATTTTTTATCTACATTTTATAAAATACTTGGCTGAATGCACTGAAACGATGGCCTGGAAGTCACAATAAGAGAATCACTTTTAAATTTAAAAGTACTAAATTAGTACTAAAATTTATTAGTACTAATAAATTTTGTACTAATTAATTTTTTCTATTTAGTTCATTTAAATGTGAAAATATACTCACTTTCAGGCCATCCAAGATGTAGATGAGTTTGTTTCTTCATATGAAAAGATGAAGAGGAGAAATTCAGCATTCCATCACTTGCTCACCAGTGGATGCTCTGCAGTGAATGGGTGCCGTCAGAATGAGAGTCCAAACAGCTGATAAAAACTTCACAATAATCCACACCACTCCAGTTCATCAGTTAATGTCTTATGAAGTAAAAAGGTGCACTTTTGAAAAAGAAAAAAAAAACTAACTGTTGCTTATGGTTAAAATACCTCTATCCATAATAATTGCTTTCTCCATTCAAAAAGGGTCTAGTCTGATCAAGCACTATTTACAAGATTAACAGTCAAAAACAGTTCTAATCAAATATGCCAACAAAGGATGGACTTCTTCACTGGAGAAAGAGTTACTACAGATTATTTACCACTGGATGAATTTGTTTGAGCTTACAGACATGGAGCTTTTCACATGATGTTAACTGATGGACTGGAGTCGTGTGGATTACTGTGATGTTTTTATCAGCTGTTCGGACCCTCATTCTGACGGCACCCATTCACTGCAGAGGATCCATTGGTGAGCAAGTGATGGAATGCTATTCCTCCAAATCTGTTCTGACGAAGAAAAACTTATCTACATCTTGGATGGCCCAAAGGAGGAGTACATTTTCAGCCAATTGTCATTTTTGGGTGTTCATTTATATAACTCTTATCACAATACACAGGGGTGGACAGGAATTCAATAGCCCACTATATATTCAGATACAGTACTCATGTCATGTGCATGCCATAGAGAACTCCAGGCAAACGATGCAGGAGCAAATATCTGAAACTGTATGATCTTACCGAGCCCAGAGGTCCCTGAGTCCTCTTCGAGCGAGCCTCTGCTGGGTTGCTTCCAGCGGCGTTCCTTCCCATTTCCACACTTTATAGTCAGGCATGGACAGCTTGCCATGCCCATGATCCCCACCCATGACTGCTGCTGAAGAAATCTCAAGTTAAAGTCACTCGCCTCCACTGAATCACTTAAGAACGAGTCGATTCAAAAACGTGTGGTTAAAATGCAGACTAAAGCTTGTGTGATGGTCGACTAACTGACTGGTCGTTTAATTGGGACAAGAGATCGAATGGTCGACACATCCGTAGTCATCACTTTGTTGATGTGAGATTACCTAGGACTTGTTCTCACAAGGCAAACCTGAGAAAGTGGAGATGTTAGCTAAATCTTATAGCTGTCTAAGAGAAACTAATGAGACCCACTGAAAAAAAAAAAAGTGCTTCATGTTGTAAAATTTCAATTGATTTTATCCAACATCACTAAATCAGCCTGAATACATTAGGTTACATGCACAAACAATTATTAATTTACATAATTCTAAATTTAAATGTTAGATCAGGTAAGGCTAAACTTGTAAGATACCATTTTTATGGTATATTAAGATCAAGTAAGTGTGTGTGTGTGTGTGTGTGTGTGTGTTCACCACTCAGTATAATAGCAGCATAATTACCTTTTTTTTTTTTTTAAAGCAAAGTGACCTCCAACTTGACCGCGCAATCAATCCAGGAAGTTAAGTTACTACTTCCTGTGAAGAGGACATTCGAATTAAATACATGTTGTACAAATGCATACTAAAATGTTATTACAACAATCCGTTATTCAATCTCTCAGAAAAGATTTGAACTATTCGACGTTTTTGATAAAACAATGACAGGACTTTTATTTTGACACTTTTGTGAATGAACGATTAGGCGCATGCGCACTTTCAGTTTCTAAATCAATGGACAGGGCAAACTCCGGGGCCATGGCAATTTTATTGAAATGATCGTTATGTTGTTATACGTTCACAGAAATTGTATTAATATGCATAGAGTCTTTTGTCCTTTCCGTAGGCAGCAGAAATACGTTTACACGTTTCTATTTGAGACGGTCACCTCGTGAAAGGCGTCGAAACAAAAAGAGAAAAACTCCCAGCAGGTTGGGCTTTTTAGGTTATAACTTATATTTAATTGTACTTTCACTATGGGTGTAGTTCTGCAGAACCTGCAGAACGTGGTTCCCCTGAGACGCGCCAGACTGCGCAAAGATGTGGAGGTCCTGAGGCACATCTTCGGGGTCCAGAAGTTTGACATGGGCATCATATGCGTGGACAACCGCAGGATTCAGCGCCTCAACCACATCTACAGGAAGAAGAGGCAGCCCACAGATGTGCTGGCCTTCCCCTTCTATGAGGTACAGCCGCTGTCAAGATGGATTGCATGGCTATGTGCTTCTTTCTCATTGACTAGAGGAAGTACTTGGCCTGCAATGTGTTATATATAAACACTGGCCATTGGCAGGTGGCTAGAGCATGTCTGTTTTTGCTGGCAGTTGAAGTAACCCATGAAATAATGGCTGAAGTTTGTTTCATTTCCCAAGGATCTGAGGCCAGGCAAAATCCCATGTGCCCTCCAAAGAGACGAGTATAACTTAGGAGACATCTTCTTAGGTGTAGAGTATGTAATGCAACAGTGTAAAGAGACATCCCAGGATCTTCATGCAGCACTAACAGTAAGAAAGAGGTGTAGTTTGGTCACATTTATATCTGCAGCCTAGCAGAGATTGCATGAAGGTTTATTAAAATGGCTTTTTGTGGCGTTGCGCAGGTGGTCTCTGCTCATGGGATCTGCCACTTACTGGGGTACAGACACGAAACTGAAGAGGAGTGGAATGAGGTGGGACATATTTCACCAGATTAGTGTTGGCTGTAGCTTGTCTTTTATGGTTTATAAAAATATACAAGCTGCTTGTAGGAACAAAACCATAAAGAGAAAACTATTAAGTGGTGATTAGTGAGTGGTGATATTCCCTTTACACTGGGTGGTGGATTAAAAATATGTACATATCGATCATCCTGAGGCCATCAGGGTGAGAAACACATCTCTAAAAGTCGTGCACACATGACAGGCTACGTGCTAAATAAGTGGTTCCCAAACTTTTTCTGCTTCTTGTAGAGAGGGGGGG